GATTTTCATGGCTGTGACGTTTCGGAAGGAGATCACCAGGCTGTCTCCCGTGGAGTTGCTGGGTGAGTTCGCATCGCTAACCATTCTGTTAACAGCCAAGCACTTACCCGTTGCCACCAGGGCTCCTCAGAGCAGGTAACAGTATTGTGTAAGCGCTAAATGTCCCAATTTTGATCATTTTGAGTCCCTGGGGGGTGCAAACAGTTAATGAGCTCGGCTGCTGACCCAGGGGTTGGTGGTTCAAACCCTCCCAAAGATGCCTCTGAAGGAAGGGCTGGCAAGCGACTTCTGAAAACCAGCCCTTGAAGACCTTGTGGCTCTCAAAAGCCTGAGGTACAACCCACCGTGGGGGTGGCGGTCGACCATGCAGTGTTTCGTTCCGTTGTGCATGGGTCAACGTGAGTCGGGGCTGACTCGACGGCAGCTGACGGCTACAACTGGCAGCAGGAGGGGCAATGGGCACCCAGAGAGGCTCTGACACGCACTCCCCGGGCAGCACGAAGAAGCCCCCGGAGTGGAAGGAAGAGAATTGTGAGTTGTCTGGGGCGACACAGAGGTGCTTATGTTAAGAGGCAGCTGCACCCTTGGACAAGGAGCCCGACTCATGTCTTCCCGTGCCAAGGAAGACAGGAGCCTTGTGCAGGAAGGGCTGTGAGGGCCAAGGCCGAGCTGGCAGGTTGAGGCTGCACAGCGAGGCTACTATTCTGCAGACGCTGAGCTGCTGGTATAGGAGAGGAGCCCCCGCGGCAGCTGGGAGACGTTTGCTTGGAAGACACCCAGCCCCCTGTGCGCTGCCCTTGTGCCTTTCAGAACGGCTTCCCAGGTCATGTTTGCAGGGGCAGCTGTGCTCAGGCCTGTTTGTGTCTTCAGGAGGCTTGGGAGAGGAGATAGCGTTTAAAATATGGGGAAAAAGAGAACGGGAGGAGATAAGGTGCAAGCTAGTAACAACGATGGTGATGGCCGCTGCACTTTTGCACCTGCCGTCATTTCAAATGGCAGCCTCGTGGGTGTTCGTGCACAAGTGGGTGCCGCAGGGTTTTCTATGGCTGATGGTTTGGAAGCAGATTACCAGGCAAGGTTGTGTTGTCTCCACATCACGGGTTGCTATTGAGTCTTCCTCCAATCCTGATACTGCGTTCTTCTTCTTCCTTTTTTT